CCGCGCTCCCCGCTCCCCCCCCTGCCACTGCCCCCCCTGCTACCGCCTCCTCATTCAGCCATGCCCCAGCCCTCCCCAAAAAGCCTGGCTGGGACCCCCCCCCCATGGCACTGCTGCCCCATTTGACACTTTTTCTCTTGCTCCTGCTGGGCCTGGGTTGGTGTGGGGTTGCCACTGGGCCCAACCCAGACCAGGACTCTGCGTGCAAAACCCAGGTCCAGCTCCTCCCTCAGCACTGTGAGCATCTGCCAGAGCTGGGGGGAAACGTGGGGGTGCCAGAGGCTGCATCTGGTTCTTACCACCCTGTATCCCAGCAGGGGCCAGTCTCTCATGGGCTCCACATCCCTATATCCCAGCAAGAACCAGTCCCCCATGGGCTCCACATCCCTATATCCCAGCAGGAACCAGCTACCTGTAAACTCAACACCCAAGTGTGGGGACCAATGCCCATCAGGCACAACATCCTGCATTCTAGTGGGGACCAGTTGGCCCAGCATCCCAGACACCAGTCCCTCACTGGCCCAGCACCCTAGCAGGGACCAGTCCCCTGAGGGCCCTGGCTGTCCTTCAGGAGCTCAGTGATGTCTGTGCCGCCAGCTTGCGGCCCCCACCTGCCCAGCCTGGCCCTGCAACCCCCCGTGTCCTGTCCCACACTGTCCCCCCACCCCCCACTCAACCTCTGACGTTGCTTCTACAGGGCACGCTCTTGAGAAAACATGGCAAGGGGACAGAGAAGGTAAATAGCTGTGGGCTCCATGTCTGTCATCACCCCGTGGCCACACTCGTGGCCCCACACCCGTCTGCTCTGGAGGTCCAGGCTTGTCCATGCTTCCTCTGTCGTGCTGTCTGGACGTGGTGTGTTGTGCTGTTGAGGTGTGTGTGTTGTGCTGTTGAGGTGTGTGTGCCGTGTTGTCCAGGACCTGCTGCCTCAGGGCAGGATGGAGGTGCTGACCTGTTCTGTGTCACCCAGGGTAGGGAGTGGGTGTCGTGTCATGTTAAGCCCCTGTGGGTGGGTTTGTGTTGCTCATGTCTGGGCAGGCATGGGGGATGCTGCCCCATGGCACTCAGCACCCCTTCATCCCCCTGGGACCACGTGTGGATGAGGTGCCCAAGCGTGGGAGACATCAGGCACAAACCTGTCCCTCTGCTGGGGGCTCAGGAACAGAGGACCCCCAGGATGCTGGGCCATGCTGGAGGTGTGTGGGGCACACTGGGGGCCATGGGGCTGCTGAGATCCCCTGGACCTCTGAGCCTGCTTCTCCCTGATGCTCAAGGGGGCTTATCAAGGCTCACTGAACCACAAAACACACCAGAGGTCTTTCTCCACGCATACGGGCTGTCCCTTTGTCTGGGAGCTCTGCCCTGCTGGGCTGGGGCCTGGCACAGCCCTCCAGGCTGCTGGCTCCCAAAACCTGGCTCTTGGGAAGAGCTGTGCTGACATCCATCAGGGTAATGCCTGGAGCCCCCCCAGCTCCTCCCGCCTCTTGCAGGGGCCCCCTGGGGGCTGCCCCACTTTGCTGGGTGAGCTACTGTCCCCTGCCCACTGTGGCTTCCCCAGCCCCACACAGGGAGGGAGCAGAGCTGCTCCTGAGCACGGGGGAGACCTGGCACACCCAGCACTGGGGCACCAGTAAGTGTGTGGGGCTGAGCCTTTGCAGGTGTGAACTGGTGCCAGACCAGTGGCACCAGCAGAGAACTGGGCACAGCCAGAGAAGAGCACAGGGCCAGAGCCTGCACGGCTGGGGGGATGTGGGGGGCCTGGACCCACGGCTGGGGCCACCAGTAACTGTCCCTTGCTGTTCTCTTCCAGAGCAGGGTGAAGCTGCCCAGTCACACTGAAGTAAGAACATGGCTCTTCTGCTCCCCACTTGGCTCTGGTCCCTCCTTTTGCTTCCTCCCCATCCCTTGTCCCATGTGCTGCAGGGTGTGTGGGGCCCAGCCCAGGACAGTGTCCCTTCACGCTCTGTTTGAGTGACACCAGTGTCCCCAGCTCCCAGGCTGTTCACCAGCTGGGGGAGATGGGGAAGGGAAGGATGAATGGGACAGAACCTGGGGGAAGGAGGGACACAAAGGGTTAAGGGGAAATGGGGGCAAAATGAGGGCATGGGGGGTCAGACCTCTGCAGAATGTAATGGCTAGTGGGACAGATACTGGGATTTCTCATTGTTGGGAAGGACTGGAGCTACTGGTACCAGAAGAGGGAAGGAAGTGGGAATTGCTGGCTCTGCCCCACTGGGCCCCAGTTTAGCCAGTTGCACATTGCACACTGGAGTGCTTGAGGAGGGGAACTTGTGCTCAGCCCAGGGAGCGAGTGCCAGCGCAGGGAGCTGAGCAGGATCTGCCCGTGCCATGGGGCTGTGGCCCTGGCCAGGGGGTTGGCAAGGCACAGGGCAGCTGAAGCTCGCCAGGGGCTCCCATCCCTGGTGTTTCCTGGGATGCAGAGGGTCTGGGAACTTCTCTGAGACTGGGCAGGGGTCTGGGTGGCAGGGGGGACTTTTGGCTTGGCTGCCAGCACCTGGGGGTGCAGGGGGACCATGCTGCATCCTCCCTGTCCCTGCTGTCCCCCTGCAACGCTCTCTGCTCCCTCCTGATGCCATACAAGTTGTCCATGAGGTGCCAGGGATGTCCTGTGCAGGGCTCTGTGGATGCAGAATCAGGTTCTTGGACACCACAGGGAGCAGGATGGGACCCTTGGGCCAAGATGTTCGTGCTGAGCACGGTGTGAGGTCCCTGACACCGGGGTTATGTCCTGCCCCGGGGTCCCCAAGACCCCAACGGCACATTGTGCTGGAAACTCTGGGGCTGGGATGGGGGCTGTACCAGTCCCATCACCAGACCTGACATGGCTGGTGGCCTCTGGGGCTCTCCAAGGAGCACCTGTGGCCCCCCCTGGAGCCTGGGGGGCCCGCAGAGCCCCAGGAGCTGCAGCGAGCTCCTGGCACCCCATGCCCATCCTGGCCACTCACCGGGGCTGTTCCTGTCTCTTTGCTCTCTGCAGGGCACGCAGATGATTTTCAATGCAGCCAAGGAGCTGGGGCAGCTCTCCAAGCTGAAGGTGAGGCCTTGGGGATGGGTGGGACAGCAGGCACCCTGAGCTCCCCTCTGCCCGGGCGGGTGGCTCTTTGCAGGCTGGCACTGGTGCAAGGACCCCACAGGTGCTTGTTCACTCGCCTGGCAGGGCTGGGGGGAGCAGCACCCTGGTCCCGGGCTGAGGGTGGGATTTGTGCCCTGCAGGACCACATGGTGAGGGAGGAAGCCAAGAGCCTGACCCCAAAGCAGTGTGCTGTGGTGGAGCTGGCGCTGGACACCATCAAGGTGAGGGCACTCTGCGGAGTGCAGGGGTGCCCCTGAGGTCTCCCCCAAGGCACAGATCTGGGGGGGGACCAGGGGGGCTCCAGCAGAGCTGCTGAGGACCCTGCTGTTGTCTCATCCCTCCAGCAATACTTCCACGCTGGCGGGGTGGGGCTGAAGAAGACATTCCTGGAGAAGAGCCCTGACCTGCAGTCGCTGCGCTATGCCCTGTCCCTCTACACCCAGGCCACCGACCTCCTCATCAAAACCTTTGTGCAGACCCAGGCTTCACAGGGTAGGACACGCTGTCCTGGCCCCCAACCCGGGACCCCTCTCCCCACGCATGGGCTTGGCTGCCCTGCAGCCAGGGCCCCATCCTGCCTCTGTCCCAGTGGGGTTGGGGGTCCCAGCCAGGCTGGTGGAGAGGTGGGATGAAGAGGTGGGGAGGGAAGGGCTTTTCCTCCCAGGTGAAGAAGGGCCATGCATGCCCAGAGGAACAGTGTGTCCCCAGTGCCAGGGCATAGCTGGGCTGGTGCAGAAATAGGGTCCGTAGGTGGGGAAGGTCACCCTCTGTCAGCGTGGTGTCACAGTGTTTGTCCCCTCTGGATGGCCCCTGTCACCCAGCACTGGTACTGCTGGTCCAGCACTGCCCTGAAGCTCCTGGTCTCAGCTGACAGGTGCCAGCCTGGCCAGGGCTCAGCCCTCTCACCAGACCAGATGGATCCAGGTGCCAGGGCCTGTCCTGGGCACTCTGGGTGCCCCACATGCCCCGTGGCTTGTGGTCTGTCCAGGGGGCTGGGTCCCAGAGCCACGCAGGGCAGGGTGCTGGGCACCCCCTGAGCCAGGACTGCTCCTTGGCTCTAAACACTGACCTTTGTTTTGTCCCTTGGCTGCTCAAGGAGGGGACAGAGACGCTTGTTGGCAGCCACGGGCCATCATGAAGTGTCCCAGCCTTGTCTGCATCCTCGGGGAGGGGGACGTGCGTTTAGTGTCTGTGCATCTCCTGCAAGGGACGTCTGTCCTGTCTGTGCCTCCTGTGCCAGCCATGTTGGGGGCGTGGGGTTGGGTCTGGTGGGTGCAAGCACCCCTGGGTGCAGTCCAGCCCCGGGACCCCTGGGCTCAGAGCTGGGGGGTGCCCAGTGCTCCCGTGTCACTGCAGTGTTGTCCGGATGCTCGGCCGTCCGTCCGTCTGCCAGATCTGATCTCTCTTTCTCTCTCTTTGTTTTCTCCTCCCTCTTTCACTGTTCCCATCCCCCACGCACGTCGTGTCCTTCCTCCTCTCTTCCTCTGCTCTGTGCCATGTCTCTGTCTCTTTCTCTCTCCTTCCCACTAGTTCATGGTGGGAAAGGCATTAGGTTTACCCTTAGTGAAGAAATTTATCCAGAGAAGGGTATGTGTGCTGCTCACCCGCCCTGCACCCGCCTGCCATCGCCAGCCTGGGCTAGTAACAGTCCCAGCACTGTGGACTGGGTTGGCCACAAACCCCGTCCCACCAGCACCGGCCCTGGGGACCCCCAGAGTGGGCAGAGCTGGAGCCCCCACCCACGCTCGTGCTCCCAGGGCTGCTTTGGGCTGAATCTGGAGGAACCGTGCTCAGCTGTGCTGACACCCCCTGCCCCGGGGAGGAGATGTGCCCATGGGGATAGGGGTGCTCACCTTTGCTTGCAAGCTCTGGGCACCCCCATTGTTCCCAATGCTGCTGCCTGGGGTGGGCACCTGCCACGACCTCCCTGCAAGCTGGGCAGCTGTCCCCCTGGGTGTCCATGTCCCCTTCCCTCCACCCTGCTGCCAGAAGGACCATTACTAGCCTTGCACCCGGCCTGAGGCATGAGCCCAGCTCCACGGGCCCCGCTTGGCCTCCATCCCACCCTGCCAAGGGGCCGGGGCTGCCCCCCATGCTTGGCCTCCCACACCCAGACGCCCCCTCCTCGCCCACCATCGCCTCCATGTCGGCTCAGCATGCGGCGCTGCCCGGGTGGAGGGTGCCTGGGGGACCAGGGGCCGGGGTGGGCCAGGGGATGAAGGTGGATGGAGAGGAGAGTCTGCCACCACCAGCCCCCTCCCCAGCCTGGCACCCTCCTGCTGGGGGACATGCAGTTGCACATGGGGATGTGTCCTTCGCACTGTTATTTCCACCCTGGGAACTTCCCACTGATCTTCTTGGCCTCGTCTGACCCACGGGGCCTGTTCCCCTGCCTTGCACCCTCCATTCACCCACGGGTGCATGTGTGGCTCCTTGGGGGAGAGGGTGGGCTGGGCTGTTGGTCGCAGGTCACCCGAGTTCCCCAGGTTTGGGAACCACCACAAGGTCCTTGAGATGAAGGGGACAGAAGAGGGGGCAGGTCAGCCCCAAGGCCCTGACAGGACCACGGCTGCCCTGTGGGACAAGGGCCAGGTTGGATCCCTCCTGCCCAGAGCTGTCCCCATTCCCAGAGCCTTGCACAGAGCACAGACACCCACCCTGTGCCCATAGTAGGGGTGCCACTGTCACCTGATCCATCCCACCCAGGCACTTCAGCCCATGCCAGGGCAAGTGGGCTTCACTGGGCCCTACTGATATGGCATGACAGCCAGCTTGGTGCTGAGGATGTCCTGCCATGCCCCAGCCCAGCCTGGTGCCAGCCCCAGCTGTCCTTGACCCATGCTGCTGTCCCCAGAACTCTGGCAGAGGCCACATTAGGCCTGCCCACCCCCTCCTGCCCCATGGCAAGTGACCTGCCTCCTCCAGTGGGGTTGGTGGTGGGCAGGGGACATCAGGGATCCAGGGGGAATGGGCACTCATGTCTCCTCCCTTTGCCATGTAGGCTCTGGTGTGGATGACCCTGTTGGGGAGGTGTCCATCCATGTGGAGCTCCTCACCCACCCCAGCTCTGGCGAACACAAAGTCACTGTCAAAGGTGGGTTCTGCTGGCTGGGGTGCCAGGGTCTGGCAGCTGGCAGGACCCCATGAGCCTCATGTGTTCCCTCTCTGCAGTGGTTGCTGCAAACGACCTCAAGTGGCAGACCTCGGGCATCTTCCGGCCCTTCATCGAGGTCAACATCATTGGGCCCCACCTCAGTGACAAGAAGAGGAAATTTGCCACCAAATCCAAGAACAACAGTTGGGCCCCCAAGTACAATGAGACCTTCCAGTTGTGAGTGGCATTGCAGGGCTGGGGATGTGGGGCTGGGGGATGTGTCCCTGGGTCTGCCAGCGGGTTTGCTGATCTCCCAGGGGACGGTTCAGGTGTTTTGTCATTGGTAAAAGCAGAGATTGGGGTAAAGTGAGGAAAAGAAAAGGCTTTTTGCAGGGCAGGTGGGGAGGCAGGGGGGCTGGGGGTGTGACCCCCTGTGCCAACGCTGCCCGTCCTTTGTCCCCCCACAGCTCCCTGGGGACAGAGACGGGCCCAGAGTGCTACGAGCTCCAGGTGTGTGTCAAGGATTACTGCTTCGCGCGGGAGGACCGGACCGTGGGCATCGCTGTCCTGCAGCTGCGGGACATCGCGCAGCGCCCGGGCTGTGCCTGCTGGCTGGCCCCGGGCCGCCGCGGGCGCACGGGAGACCACGGC